AAAAACAAAAAATACTCCCAAGGAACACAGACTGTCTAATGATGTTGCTAGAATATTTAGCCCTCTGTCCATTCCATGTAAAAAATAAATTAAGTATAAATAAGGAGGTGAGGGGGCTGGTGTGTAGTCACGTGTGTTCACAGGTGTGTACTCAGAGGGGACATGAGAATGGGGCCGAACGCCTTTTCTCTCTTTCTCTAGCTACACAAAACTCTCCTCCATGTTGCTGCAAAGTAAGAAAGAGTCCACCAGCCGGGGCTGGACCAGCTGCTGGAAGTCAGAGTCCTGGAGGCCTTCAGGGCAGACCCCAGCCAATCTACGCAGAGCAGCCTGGGGAGAAAACAGAAGAGATGACACGGGTTAGACTGGGCCCTGCTCAGGTGCATGTATTTTCTCCAACTGCCTGGAGAGATGCATTTCAGGAAGTGGCTCATTTACCAGGCAATTTGAGCTGATCATCACCTTAGTGATCTGGTCCTTTTGGTCACCTGGTCACCGTAGTAACCTTAATACTTGGGCACCTGGTTTTATTTGCACCTTGGTGACCATGATGGATGTCATCTGAAAGTCTTCATGATCTTAATAATGGTCTTGCCATCTTGGTTTTTCAGTCATCCTGGGAACCTGGTTGTGTTTAAGATCTGTCATCTTAAAGATCTGGTCAACTTAGTGACATATTTAAGATGTGTTCACCCTAGAGACTGTAACTGCCAGAGCACCAGCAGAACTGCATTCCAGCTTCCAGGTCCTTGGAGGAAACTTAGAACAGCAAGGACTATTAATTTATCCATCAATTCAGCAAGGTTCTGAGAAAAGCATTATGAGATGGGAAGGAGGGAAGAGAGAGAGAGATGGAGGAAGTCCATAAAATTGAAGGAGGTGGAGATTCTACCACCAAGATGGGAATGAACAGGAAAGAGTGGTGCAGGTGGAATTAAATCACTGCCCAGGTATCCATACACTGAGCATTTCACTCTTCCCTGAGTACGCTATCCCATTTTATGCCCATGTGCCTTGCTCAGCTCTTCTCTATGATATGAAGTCCCTCCCCACTCTTTTCTAGCCAGCCGTTGCATTCATCCCGCAAGGCTTGGCTCACTGTCACTTCCTCTGTGAAGCCTTCCCTGATTCCTTGAAACAGAGACATTCCCTCCCTCTAGTGCACCCACAGCCCCTGGGTTGACCTCAACCCTGTCACACTTGACTACAACTGTTGTTTAGGTGTTTATCTCCTGCATTAGGCTCTGAGCTCCTCAAGGGCAGAGACTCTTTTATTTTTCTCTGTTTTTATAACACATAGAGCGTGGGTTGGCACAGGGCTCAGTAAATATTTGCAAAACAAATTAAGTGCTTTAAAATTGAGTCCTACTGCTAGAGTTACCTAAAACTGCAAAGGTGAGCTATTTACCTCTTTACCAGTTAGCTCAGGCAATACATACAAAGTGCTCAATGATATTAATTACTTCCCTCTTCTGCAGACTGTACACATCAGGAAACAAGGTGGGAGCTTAAGGATGCCCTTCCCTTAGGAAACAAAGACAAGGGGCAGAATATCTGAAATGGTAGTAAAAGCAAAGAAGGAAGAATGCCAACATAGCATTTCATTTAATCCTTATAACACCGGAAAGTAAGTATCACAATCTCCAATTTG